AAAAAAAAAAAAAAAAAAAAAAAAAAAAAAAAAAAAAAAAAAAAAAAAAAAAAAAAAAAAAAAAAAAAAAAAAAAAGTTGGATATATATAACTTGAATTTTTGTCCGCAAAACGATTTTTATAAAGCTAAATTGAGTTATTTCTTCTAGAGGAATACATCACCTGGTGGAACCAAAATTGGGAAGCCAGGACCTGCTACCATCAGATAATGGTTCTTCTAAAGACAATGACAATTCTTCCTCCCAAGTAGATCATGATGATGTTAGCAATGAAGATGTGGAATCGATTGATTATGAAGGGATGGAGGCGACCGACAATAAAAAGATAAAGGAAACAAGGTAAGAATTTTAGACACTGGGGGGGTTTTTTTTTTTGAATAATGAAAATTTATATTCTTGGCCTTTTAGAATGGACCAATCAGATTGAGCAAAGAGCACTGACAGAAAATTGAGCAGACTATAATGGCATGAATAGAGAGAATGTGAAACTCAATGGAAAAATATGTCGAGGATTTAAAAGAGCCGGGTCTCAAAAACGACCTATAGACAAAAATAAGCACCGAATATTTCTGTGCTTTGAAAGTCGCAAATGGCAAGAAATCTCCATCACAGCGCATCATCTCCATTATCTTCATGTCCTGGATTACCACAATCCGCATTACTATTACCGTTAATATAATTCTAGCCTTAGCTTAAGAAGCTTCAGTAGGTTTCTTATCATTGTATATATATACTACAATTAATCAATTCGGAATATGATGTGAGATGTGCATCATAAAAAAATAAAGGCAACTCGCGATCACAGTTCATTTTTACCAAATTATAAGAGAATTGATGCTTTAGGATCATGACTACAACTATGGAATGGTATTTTCTCAGATGGATTTTCTTGCACGAGTAGAAACCCACTCAATATAGTCAAACCGATACTTTTTTCAATACCCGTGCAATTTATATATGATAAATCCCTCGTAAAACTGACATATAGACTTCGCAAACCCGATAGACCGATATTCTAATGTAGTACAAATTACTGCCCCAGGAGTATACAAGATTCACTTTTGCGTATAAGATATAACCTAGTTGAAAAGCTCCGTACAGAGGGGTTTTTTAATATCCTAGGCCGCATTGTTATTGAATTCTAACAACCATATATCATCAGTTACCTCCCATACCAGATTTCAGCTTGCCCAAGTTTGGAAATATAGTTAGGAGAGATAAGATAGATGAGACGCAGAGGAGACCATTTGATTCAGTTGCAGGTAGAATTGGACATCTTTCAGTATTAGTATGTGTAATGTAATCTTAATCGCCAAAATAAATTGTTGTTCACCGTTGACACAAGATCCCTAGGACGGAGCAATGGTCGCGTCTGTGTCACATCCAAAATTTCAATTCCGAAGCTAGTTTCTCATAAACATTGGTTAGCTTCAAGCAGCTGCTTATTAAGCCTTCGATATGGCCATAAGGCTCCCGGTAGATTCTCGGAGCATCTCATGTATAATCCAGCTCGAAGTCACAGGCTCACAGAAACGTTGACTGGTTTGATAACTGCTCTGATTGATGTTTGGGACAGATTCGATAAAATGAAACGACTAGATCGAGTTCTTTCACTTTGCATATGAACCGTTGAAAATTCTCGCATTAAACATACTGAAAGATTCAAGTAAACCAAGATTAGTTATATTGTAACCTCTGAACAAAACCATGCATTTGCTGTGTAGACAAATCAACACCTATACTTGGGAACATGTCACGTGTTACTGTTCTTGCTCCAGTAGTTTTTGGCAGCAATGCGGGATGTTATGGACAGGGAACAGTGCGAGATTTGTGTGTGATTTCAGAAGCACGTTGTCAGAAGACTTCTGTCCGCTCTGTATAGTCTGCTGTTTGTACAGAAATGGGAGAGTTGTGAACTAGTGTTGTCTTGTAGCTTCCATGTGGCAGACAAGAAGAATTACCTTATGATCGATCTTTGAATCATCAGCTTTCCCCTTGACATATATCCTCGAACAGTCCTGTTTGAACTGTCATACCTTTGAACCCACACTTCAGTAATTCTTTCTCCATATTAGTCCATGGGTATATAGGAATGATGAAAAGGCTATTGACGAGTCACAATATGCATCAACAAATCTCCATGCTATCCGCCTTCATAACAAGTATATCTTTCAATAAACCATATTTTCCGTTGGTAAAGCGAAAACTGGCGCAGTCATTGATGAGGACGAAAGATCGGTTGCAAAACAGTAAAACGGTTACTGCACAGTTCAATTTTAGTAACCGTTGTCACTTTATGATAGTGTTCTATTCAAATGAATATAGCTTCGCTGGAGTGAGTTGATTGACCAGATCGAACAGGCATGGCCTCGCTTCTGTGATGTGCACTATTGTTCCTCATGTCGCCCAGTGCGTGCTAGGTAGTGGTCTTGAAAGGGATTAATAGTAAAAAAGTGAGTAATCAAAGCGAGGATGAACTAGGGCTCTTGAAATCAAATTATACTCAGTTCTTTTTTTTTTTTCAGCATTACATACCCTCAGATTTTCTCCAACAGTTTTAACTTATGCCATGTTGCCTGATTTGCCAACACTATGGCCGTTCTGGTTGTCCTTTGGCCATGCTGTGCCAGTACTTCTAACATTATTTTCTAGATTCGCATGAAGTTCCAATCTGTATTGCATATTTCGATTTGCCCGCCCCATGAAGCCTTATAATAATTTAGTGGGATGCATTTTCGGTTTGTTAACGATCCACCCTAGAAGAACTTTGGGTAGTTGCTACGAAAAAGAAAATGAAATCATAAAGCACATGAGTATTGTGTATAACAATGCAATTACTGGTCTCTATTTACTAATCACCATTCTACATTGTAAATAATAAGATATCCAATATGATGTCCGGATCTTTCTTTATCAAAATGGCTTTTGGTAAGCCAATAGGCAGCCCGGGTAACAACAGGAATACATCGGACGATAATGTACCTGTCGCGATGACAGAAAAAAAAACAAACCGGTCAGATTTTCCTGTTTTGTTATAAAGTAAATCAAAGAATTGTTTTAATAAACGCTATCATCGTACACGTATGTTGGACTTCATTTATAATCCAGCCTGTTGATAGATAATGGTAGTGAGAGCGGATCAGTGCATCCGATCAAATGTGATGTTTCGTATATGTCACATATCCTCTCTCGTCATGCATATTACATAAAATGCAATGTGAAATGTTACCACGTGATTTATTAGTACAAACTCCCTAAATGCAAAGTTTTTCGTTGGTGGCCTGCGAAATTTTGGTAATGTATGCTGTGCTCTGTTACCATACTACTTCCTAAACGATGTCAAAAAAACCAAGAACGAGAAGTGCTACTAGGGGTGCTAAACCTGTTTTGCAAACAGGATTAACTGGCAGTAAGTTGACTTATTAATATTATTTTTCTATTGAAGCCCCCCTCATACTCAATGTCATCTGCAAAAAAAAAAAAATAGATCTCAATGAGCTTGACATAAGCACCTCGTCACTCCCTTTCAAAATCTGGGTAAAATATGGCAGTGCGCAACCATCCAGGGTTGTATTTGATGGAGGAGAAGTGGAAGATTTGAAGGAGGCAGTCAAGAAGAGACTATCACCCAGGTTAAATGAAACTGCCTTTGACCAGATTACCCTCCGCAAACACGGCGATGAGGCTGACCTAGAACCAGGTACTAAAGTGGATTCGAGTTTCCAAAATACCGACAAAAACCCGCTTCAAGTTATAGTTATAGTGCCAGAAGAGGAACACAAAGAGCAAGGTAATTAGTGAGTGAATAATGCAATCAACTGTTGATTCACGATCAAAAATTGGTAAAGGGATGGTTGACAGTTCAAATGTTTTGTAATACCTAATGAATACTGATGTACTGTGATTTTTTTCTCCCCATTCCATTTTGCCGATATCAGAACGGGGGAAATTGAAACGAAAGGCGGAGGAAGAACGTAAGATTATACAGAGCTAACTTTGCTCTACATTAATAATGTCTCATTTACTTATAAAATTTCTGTTTGATTAGTTGCAATCATGATGCCGAAGAAAAGGAAATGGATGGTAAACAGTGCCATTACGCGAGAAGAGCGTCCTATCGTCTATTTTGTGGATACAACAGAGCAGAGTACCCCACTTCTTGAATCGGTATATCGAGGCGAATTCGTAGCGTTACATGGTCCGCGGGCCTCCGGGAAATCTACTCGGGTACTCCAACTTCAGGACCAGTTGAATAGCAAAAGCTTTGTTTGTATCTAGTAAGTTCTATTTCTCACCTAACTAACTGGTCTCATATATGGGATCTAACTATTGCTTCTATTTATTGCACTGCATCTGTAACAGTGTGTCTCTTGAACATGTGAACGTCACCAGTGAGGATAGGTTCTGGCAAACATTCGGTTCTACTCTCAGTGTTCGCGCTCCAAAACGAATCGAACTCAATAGCATTAATTCTGATCAGGATTTCCTTCAGGCGTTTAGAAAGGATAAATGGGAATATCCTGTTGTCCTATTTATTGACGAGTTTGATGTGTTATATTCTGCAACAGATGTTGTTCGCACTTCGTGTCTATCTATTCTCCGCGGCATTAAACAACAAAAAGATAGTTATGCTATCAGGTCCGTCTTTGCCATCGGACCTTTCAGTATCTTGCATTTAAACTCGAATAATTTCACTAGATCACCCTTCAACATTAACGAACCGTTTCAGAACCCAAACTTCACCAGGAAACAAGTGAAGTTTCTCTACAAAGAATTCGCAGACGAATTCAAATTAACTATTGACAAACAGATAATCGAAGACATATATACACAAACAAATGGGTAGGTGATTGGAATTACATAAGCATATTTGTAATTGGGCATAATTTTTGCTAACTTTTTTTTTCCTCAACAGACATGCTGGTCTTGTCTGTCTTTGTGGACGTGCGATTTATAGAAGGCTACTCTCAGAGGGAAGACACTTGAGTTATGACATATGGCAACATTTTAGCATGTTTTCATTAGGAAATGAGATTCTAGAATATTCGACATTTATAAAGATGAAAGACACCCTCCTAAGAGATGAGACTGATATAAGACAAGCCGTGAAGCTTCTCCGATCTGATTTTCTGACAAATTTTGACCCTGTAAATCCTAGAACACAAATAGATCTAGCATCTTTTCTCACAGCAGAAGGTGTGCTGACACCTGGAGAAGATACTGGAACATTTAAGATTTCCTCGCCATTGGTGCGCTGGTTGATCCTTCAGCGAATAATTCCCCGTGTGTTTCCAACTTCACCTGAAAAGGAAGTCCCCTATCATTCTTCACGCACTCTGGACACACTCGAGGCTTTAAAACAGATAGTTGTTGTATTTGACAAAGAAATTATAAAGTCACTCAGTTCTTACAAGACTGCTCATGTGATGGTAAACGATCTCAAAAATGTAACAGTTCCCAGAGAATCAGTGTATGATGCAGAGCTTTACCGGATCATGACGAATTGGTTTGGTGAATTTATAGTAACAGGACAATGGCACCTAAAATATCGAGCGAGTGGGCACGTTAATCATAAATATGTCGACATAGTCATATCAAGACCTGGTCATCCAACTATTGCTTTTGAACTTCTAGCTACAGCAACAAACAAAGAACTCAATGAGCATTATGGACGGGCACTTACATATACTGCGAAATTATCTGCTGATGAAACATGGGTTGTTCATTTTACCTGTTGTGAGGCCTCAATTATGTCTCCATGCTGGCCAGCTGCAGAATCACTGATAAAGGGCCTTCGTGTTGTAATTTTTTGGCATGACCTTAGTTTTACGAAAATTCGTATGAGAGCATGTTGGTGGGATTCAGTTGAATTTATGAAGCATGTCACTCAAATTGAGGACCTTATGGTGCGTTCTATTACGATTTTTTTGGTTGTTTATTTTACATTCCATGTTTCTAACATTATCTTTCGGTTGCAGGTTTTACAATAGGATAGTATTCAGGCTTGCGACTTGTCAATAATTAAAAAAAAAATTTAGTATTATTAATATAATGATCGGCGTTCATACGCATTTGCTTATAATTTCCACCCCGTTCCCGTTACCTTTGAGACGGTTACCATGCATGCAAAGCATGAGATTGATTTGGTCCTACCGACGACACACATCCATATTTTCGTCAAAAATATCATTGATCTATCTGCATGCCTATTTGCAAACCTAGAGTGTGACATCCGGGACGGGACATGACAATATGAAGTATTACATAATCGATATTTTCTTGACTCAACTTGAGGATTGTAGACGGGGTAAAAGATCTGATTCTAACTATTTTGTCCTCGTCAATAGCCATCATACACTTTCCGAGCCATCTGCTTTTTTCGCAAAGCGTTATCGCTTAACTCTTTGGTGCTGACTTCTAAACTCATTATTACTAAGACCAACCTTGTATAATACTCGAGACGTTTTTTAAGATGTCCAAAATTATAATAGACTCTAATAACCGCATGAAAGGCTTTTTGATTACTATTTTCGGCGTTAATTAGTTGATTATACAGATTGAGAAAATTAACTGAATCGACGTCATTTTCAGTTGCAAGTACCAAACCCGATTCTGTACCGATAACATTTTCCTCGAAATTTAAGTCTTCTGTAGACAACTCATCGATTAATTTCTTTCGACGTGGAGTGTGTAATCATTATTTATTTTCATCGACACCGACAACATCGAAAGCCAATGATAAACAATGTGTCACGTGAAATGACTGTCGGTGAAGTGTACTGTCGGTGAAATGATTGTCGATGAAATAAATGCCTCCCTTTTTATGTCTGGGTTTGTTACTTTGGGACTGATTCGCATACGTTGGATAAAACGAATGAGGTGTTAAGAAAGAATTGGGCGCGGAATGACATTGAATCCGAAATTATTGTATTTCCATAAGTCGGAGACTTCTGGTTTTTGGCCAGATGCTAATTGTAGCAAAATCTGCAATGGATTCAATCCACGTTCGCATGTGGGGCACTGTGAAAAGATTTTGACATGTTTCTTAAGACAATTGCGATATATTAATATGGGAACAGGTTAATATAGTAAACGACTTTTTTAGTTCATAATTAAAAAGCTCCAAAAAATAAAAGTAAATAACGGACAAGAATTAATTACCAAAGCCAAAGAATACAAAAACTCGGGTGGCGAATGAAAGTTGTTAGAAACATATTTTACTTTACCTTTTTTGATTGCATAATGAACTGCCCTGGGACTTCAACATCATTCACAATGGTGTCGAATGAGCCGTCGTTAAGACTATTTAATGCCAGAGTTTTGAGGCATAAAATATTCAGTGGACAAAGTCGCTTTGTGCCTAGAATTGTCTCTGTCGTTATACTGAAATTCAAGAATAATGTAGAGAATTCTGAAAGTTGTGTGCAGGGAAGAATGGGATTAGTTTATTTTCTCTCAGTGGGCATTTGTTCTTACATCTCGTACTCAATTGAAGTAATAAGATAACCGCGATTACTAGAACAACTATGTCAGCTTATGCTATTTTTATTACGTACGTATCAGTGACTATTGTGTTGGTTTTCCAAGTTTTTTTTGTTTTTATTTATAAATAAAAAACAAAAAAAGAGAATATACCACGTAATCGTATGATTCAATGTGCGATTTGTTTTAGCGTATTTATTGCATTTACAGGATACCTTCCATATGCAAGTTTCATGTCTATGGTAAAACTATCCCGCCTTCTGCCACGAAAAGTGCATACCAATTTCCAATAAGGTCATCAGTTAACTTTAAGTGGGCTGACTGGGAGGTGTTTTCTGTTTCAAAACCTTGAATAAATCTGGATTGTTGAAGCAATACTTTGATTATGTGTAATTAATTAATTTTTTTATGATATAATTCAAATTGATTACAGCATTTACTTAAGGTAGTTTTGTGTCTTGAGGTAATACAGGTTATAAAAACTTATGTATTATGTATTGATTGGCACTGCTTCTGTTTATTAGTTTTGACTAGTATTATAATCTTTTGAGGACAGAAAATTTTATGGTGCTGAATATTAATACGCTGAGAATCTTATCATGCATCTGATTGAGCTCTTTGAGCGAGACATTAGAGAACAATGTAAACGATAGTTGACGTACTTCCAATCGTAAGTTTATTTGCAGGCAGTTATTCGATTCTTTAGGCGCTATTCCACCGCCGTAAGTAGTTTTCTATTATTCCGTTAGTCTTCAACCAAATCCTCTGCGGCTAGTTATTCTAGCAATCATCCGACATATTCATATTTATTTATAACGCTAACATTGAATTTGCTGTATTCACTAATCAGCTTGCAACTATAAATTCTTTTGTAATTAATAGCCGGGTAACGAATTAAAATCTATAATAATTATGGAAGCCTATCCATTTAAATTAGTAAAAACCGCATTTACTTATAGTAAATTCTGAAACTGAAATATTTTGTGATTAAAAGCTTGCGGTCAAGACGTACACTTACAGTATATGTGCCGCATACAATTTTTCATGTATGGTAGCTAACAGTCTTGGGTTATTAAGTTCAACATTCATTAATGTAATAGTGAATACAATTACTGGTTTAAATATTGACCTGATTAATCATCCGATTCATGACCCAATAGCAATACTAACATTTGAATCGACCGCTGCCTACTTGATGTTTATAAATCCATCATGTATCGCCAGGATTATCAAATTTGCGAAATAATTGTCGGTGAATGACTTGCTGCGAAATATAACGTCTATGAAGTGATTATCAATATTATGACACGGACCCATAAAGGGACGAAGTGAATAATCTTCCCTACCAATATTTTCATATAATGAATGTCTGCAGATACGTGTAGTTTCTATTTCATCTTCAAAATATGTACCAAGAAACTCTTGGCTGTACAAAATCATCGCGTATTTTGTATATATATAGCCACGTTTTTGGTTTTATGCCTGCGGTGGTAGAGGGCGCTATTATTTCCGGGCGAGTCGGAGACCCAGAGCATTGTTTTTTCAGAAACAACACTGTTTTGCGTTTCGGTAGTATTTTAATATCCATTGTAAGTGCACTCGTATTTTATTATTCAATGAAAAAGCAATTAATTATCTTTTAAAGTATGTTATCGAAAAATTAATTAGTGGGGCTAGCAAAGTCAATATGGAATTTTATCATTATCTTTATATTCTCCGGACCGGAGACCGCATACCTACGCTATTGGTCATACCAGGCGTACTTAGTAAAGATTGTGGTAGTTGACATTCGCTATATGAGCATTCTAGGAAATATCTGTTTCGAGATTATTACTACCGAGGAAAGCTAGCTTAATAATTATATTTTACGTGTATATACTGTGTCTGTCGCTTGTCACTCGGAGAAAAAATTAGCTGAAGTCATCTAATTTTTTCTGGGCTCCAATCAACCTCTAGAAAGAATTCTGGATACGTGTCCCTAGCGCTATCAACCCCAAATTTGTCATCTATTAAAGCAATTGTTTAATCAAAATGCCACTTAACTCTTGTATTGTCGTTTTTTCTATAAACTACAAAAAATTTCATGCACTCTCGCTTTGCTGCTCGCATCTGGTAATAAACTAGACTTATGTTACTTTTCTTTGCATACTTCTCAGTTAATGCGCGAACGTCACCACAGACAATTGCCATACAAATCGGTTTTACATCACCAATACACATTTCTATGTTTAAGCAATTTTTCGCTGCTGAGCATGTCTATTCTGCCAGACATTGTGCATGTTTCCTGTCTAGATAAACAAGCGTTCAGGCTACACTTTAGAATATAAGGTAAGACTACAACGCATTCACTCATCACACATTCCCAAATAGATTTATCTCATTACGTTTATTTCAGATTCTTAGACAATGAATTTATTTATTTACTACAGATAGTAATATATTTTTGATATAACTATTACTAATAATATACAACACCCAATTAACGCACACGCTATCAAACAACACTTCAACAATGGAGTTTGCCATCGTTTATAAATCTAATAGGCTAGGCACAAATTTGACCCTATTTAAAGCATACCCAGTTATTATATTGCCGTTACAGTTTGCCAAGTTGAGGATGCGCTAATTAGAAGTTTTTCGAGATATTGACATCAGTTGAAATGTTGACGGTCTTTATGACTTACATTGACTAGATTGCAATGTGGAGTGGAGGATTGTGTTAATTGACCATTACTCTTCATGTTCAACGACACAGTTAATTTGTAATAGCCGGAATATACGGTATTCGAATAATATTGTCAGAAGAGCTTTACAGCGAATGCCTTGATGCAAGTCAATGATCACTGCATACCTCTTACATTATAGTTAGCGACATAATAATAACTGTTACACTTGTTTCAAAGAGTCAAAGTTGTCATGGCTTATGCAGCAAAGATATTGTAGTAATCAAAGACTGGTAGGACTGCAAATTCATTTATGTCCCTTATGTCACATGTTTCAGTTTGTTGTGAGGGTGTGGATGTAATTATTTTTAACTTACTACAGAAGCGACGCAATGTAGTTCATTCTATGAATTCTAATGACTAGTATGCATAATAACTAGTTCGTCGTTCCTTTCTTAATAATTTTTGGTTTCTACATTTTATTGATCCCCCTCGTATATGGAGCATAATAATAACTTACCCAACCCTTTCCTAGCCTAGCAACACGCAAAAAGCATATACACTCTATGTCGTCAAGTAATTTGTTCGCATGTGGATTTAGAGTAATTAGAAGTTATACGCAGTTGTTCTTATGGCATCCCTTTAGTGCGTGCAAAACATCCTTTCACTGGCTACAGTTTCCAAACGGTCAAAGAGAAATAATAAACTATTGTTCAAAACGAAGATCTTTTGCAGCGGCTGTTGCGGCGTTTGTTGATACTTTGACTCGTTGGAGGAGAATTTTTCATGTATGTATGCCGCTTGTTGATCATTTCCCCATGCACAATTGACTTGCAGTCACGAGTACAACCATTCATTCCCTTCTCTCCGAGTAACAATAATATTCATTGAACATCCCCCTTCCCCTTCTTCTCCCACACGCGCGACTTTTAAATCGATTGGGACGGTTAGGTAGAAAATCATAACCAACGACCGGTCCTCATTCTATACCACTATATACACTTATATACCTTTTTTGCATAATATCCTTGTTCCGCGTGTCGGGAGGTTGGCAAACAGGTAACGCAGCTAGTTTTGCGGTACATGCGCAGAATAGAATGTTCGGATAATTAAAAGAAAACGGATGGATTTGCTGTTCTGCCTCCGTAACCGTGTCTACAAATTAGGCTGTAGATTTATATACTTTTCTTATTAATACAGGCAATCTCCAACCTACTTGTATATTTATTTTACTATTCTGGGATCATTACTTGATGCAACAAGGTTAGACCGGTTTGCTGTGTTCAGTGTTTTAAAAGGCATGCGAGAAGGGAAGTGTAACAAACCAAAGCACTAACAAAAGAATTTCGATTCTCTGTCGGAACAATAGTTATTCATGTTGGCCCAGCAGAGGAGCTCGAGAGCTGACCAAATTATTCAGGTTAGAAACTATTTTAGAACTTTTTGAAATGCGAAAAAGCGGGACGCTGCAATAAGGCGCAGAAGAGACGGTAGAGTCGAGAGCACAAATCGCTGTTTATGCGATAATTAGTGACTATGGGATCGGTATTCTTTTGTCATTCAGTCTGATGTTTACTCATGACCAACCCTTCCCCCTCCCCTTCTAATACTGTTATCCTTCCAGAACTTTTACACAAAAACAGCACAGATAATCACTCAAGCGCGTCTAATTGAATATGATAATAATAACCCGAACCAGAGGAGAGCCAACAGATGGGTAAATATTCCAAGTGCGTGCGTACCAAAACAAACTTACAGTCAACGTCATTACTTATTTACGTTGTAATCGTCTTTGATTTCCACAAGTTTAACCTCGAACTAGAAGATTCAGACATATACAGAGAGGACATTAAATACTGGCGCATGACCGCTGTGTCAACTCAGAGCCCGCCACAACCGATGACGATCCAGTTTTATTTGGACATTACAGACTTGGCTCAGGACCAAATCCTTGTTCTGGCCGATGAATTTTATGGAAGGCATCGTGTTACTGTGGAAGAGATCGATGAGGATGGTAGAGGGAGGAGAAAGGACAGGATCATGTTGGAGAGTTGGACGCTGACTTTGAGGTTAGTTGAAGAGTGATAAAATGGAGAATGTGGAATTTGTCAAGATGGACAGAAAATATGCAGGGAGAATGTTGAAAGGTTTTTGTAGAGTAGGCATTGTTTTAAACATTCTTCATCGTAGTGATACCACATTCATTCGTCATACTATTCTTTCTTTTTTTCTCTTTTACCAAAAAATAGTCAGCCAACACCCGATTCACAAGCAGAATTACCCATAGTATACAAAAAATCCATAACCTTCTTTCGTTCACTGTACGCATATGTGAGATTACTTCCAATGTACGGATTATTCAAAAGATTGTCGATGAAACTGACACAGTCTATGAAGATTGGGCATCGGTTTGTATTGCCAAATGCAAATACCAGAGATGACGTTGGCATAGGTGGGAGTTGAATCATATGTGATAGTCTTTGTTGTTGGTTTATTTATTTCTTTTGGTTTGTGTGAAGGGAGAGAGGGTGGTGAGGAGTGAAAAAGGAATTGGGAAAGGTAGGTTTAAGAGAAGGATGCTGTAAGAGAGAAAACCGCAGGGATTTGAATATCTTATAGAGTTGTTTTTTCCTTCCTTGATGCACTAACCGTTATATGTTTTGATTTGCTCCCTTAATTCAGATGTTCCAATAATAGACAAGATGACCGGTACAGTGGCTTCCGAATATCAATTTACTCCAATTGAAACCCCGTTAGGGTAAATATCGCGCGACCCCGTTTCATTTATCCCAAACGGCATCTTGTCTTTTTAAATCAAAATAACCATTAATTTTTCTAACCCACCAGCGTTATGTTACGTATGATAGTGTGTTTTCGCTTGAAGTGATCTATCGCAACAACTGCGACTTTTACATCGACGATGATTCGGAAGCTGTGCTGAGCTCGACTCTGATTTCTATCGATGAACACTATTTTTCGCCTACTATGGCGAGATATTATCGGCAAGACGACGAGGAAGAGCAAGGGCAAAGCGAAAGAAGGATCAGCTTGCCGACAAGGATGAATGTTCGTAATTGCATCTCTCGATGGAGTTGTATAAATAATTCAAATTGGTCAATGCAGAAAGGAAAACTCTAGTTACATACTAACCGATCTCTATGCACATTTTCAGTCACCGTCGTATCTCTCAACGTCAGAATCTCCTCGTGGCATGGATCCAATGTTTGGCGCACCGCTAGTGAGAACACGTAGTTCATCAGCTTTGAGTCAAGAAACAGAGACAAGTCCGCATCCGGCCTTTGTAAGAAGTGCGCATCATCAAAGACAGCCGAGCTACGGTTACGGAAGCGGGGCCTCGGGTTTATCGCCCAAGACTAGCGATGCAAGGAGGCTATCGCAAGTTGAGGGTAGCCAGATTAAGTATGGGGTAAGTTGTGGGTTTACGTGAGAGTTGGAACGTCTCTCATACTGTGCATATGATATATTTGGTTAGTTACGCGTATTTTCTCCCTCGTCCATACCTTTTACAGTATCGAGAATCCCTACATCCACAGGGCTCTCCGACAGCCTCAAATCGCCCAACTGTAACCATGATCAAACCGTTCAAAGCTTTATCCCTCTCCTCATCACCAACGTCACATCCCGATAACTTGCCTTCCCCCACGAACTCTGATAAAGGTATATCCTCTTCACCACTCTATCGCTCTCCGTCTCAAGTGTCGTTAGGCCCGCGATACTCGTCGTCGCCATCCTCTGGCCGACCCTTGTCAATAATTAGTAACTCGGGAGCTCTGTCTTCGTCGGTGAAATCAACGTCATCGGGCGGTGGGAGTCCGAGTGGAAATACGCTAAGGTTCTCGTCTAGTTTCAAGAGTCGGTATGAAAGGACAGGAAATGCATCTGGGAGCAGAGACAAGGATGGAACCGTTGGTGGGAGAAGACCGTCGAGATCCAGTTTATATACGAATCGAAGCGATGATACTATTAGTGAACGGGGATCATTTTCTTCGGTAAGAGTGAACGAAATGTTATGAATAGTGGGCAATCAATGTGTTCAAAAGCGAATTGTGACTAGTGTGACTGACTGCTCATTATTTGCGGGAATAGTCATATTGGCCGTTTCAAGAAGAAGACGATCTCGGAGATTTTGTGAAAATGATAGAAACTAGGGGACCTCTCAAGATGTTTAGTAAAAGTCCTACAAAATCCGACGACTCAATGTCGGGATCTATCATAAAATCAAAGGCAAGTATTTAAACGTGAATTTTGCATTAGACATCGACAATTGTTGTACTAAATAAACATACGATTCATCAACACATAAACTCAATAACTGGATTACTCTCCAGCAGTTGGCCTTATCCCGTTTTCAACAAAGCAAAGAAGCCCACAACAATCTTTCCGACATTTTGTCATCAAACACACTTCCGACTTCATCCACACAACTTCATCCGCCAAACGACGGTGCACTCCTTCTGGGCTCTGGTGGATCTTCCGTGTCCTCTTCGCTCTCATCTGTAAACCGGTCGACAAGCCTTCACGAGAAATACAATAACTCTTGAAATAAATAACAGTTTTTAATTTGAGAAAGTTTTTAATTATGTGCTTGTTGCGTACAAGATTCCAATATCGAATTTTCTCCAAACAAGCTAACGCTAAATTATTCAGTAACCAACGCCATTCCTAGTAATAAGCTTTTTAACTCTACAATGACGTTCTTGGCAATACGCAAAGTGTTTTGACTTTTCGTCTTGTCATGTAGTTCGGTTCCAGTTGTAATTGTGCTGTGCCCAGCCAGCCAGGCCTTCCCTAGTACATTGGGGTTTTGTTGAGAAACAGACAATCTCTTTAATAGGGTAGGGCGTTTATTGCCCAAAGTAGTGGAGAAAAATAAGGCATTCAGTTCATCGACGTTAAATAAAGTTTTTTTGGTCCTTTCGACCAGTGACTTGGTTTTTTATTGTCGTGTAAAAAATATGTATGATAAAAAAGTCTTTATTTACTTGGAAATTAATTTTGTTAAATTGATCTATGAATATTGGTATATTATTTATAATTACACTTCCCGCAATTTCCTCTCAAACTCATCGACACTGATATCCGCTTTTTGTTCACCATCCTGTTTCTCTCTTGCTTCGGGATTGCCACCTTTGTTAATAATCTCTACGTAATTAGAAGGAAATACTCCCTGTTCACCACTCCGTAATCGGCCCAACCACCATGGTGATGGAAGACCACCCATGTCGAATTTATTTAATATTGCGATAAGGTCACCTCTTTTAAATGATAGTTCACCAGACGCCTCGCCTTTGAAATCATATATGGATCTACAAAACTCTAAATTTTGCGTCGAGACTCTAGTTTGATCGGCAGGCATTAATGGTGCGGCCACATCCGGAAGTTGAGAACTGCCGGCTTCTCTCTGACGGTCAGAAACTATCTGAATGAGCCTGTGCATCAAGTAAGGTATGCCAAATACAGCCAGCACGAACAAGACTAAAGGCCGTCTGGAGTATTGACGCTGTTGCTGGAATTGTTGAAAATTGGCTGAAGTCAACTCGTTTGCATTGACCGGCTGTTGTCTGCCAGTTAATTTATAATACAGTCTTCTTATCCATCGAATCAATGCAAATATGCTAAGCACTTGGCCCAGATAATTTCTCAAATTTCCAAATTGTTCTACAACGCCAACCATGGCCATGAACGACGAATGTGTCGCGAAAAAAGTCGATTCTAACATCTGTGCAAATCCACCAAAGGCATTTACTATCGATTCAATCATGTGAAATCCGGCAGCAGTGCTGGCTTCCATTCTTTGTGTTAGAGATAGTTCTTCGGGGCCACCGGGACCCATGGGGCCGTTGAAGCCATATCGACTGTAGGGCGAACCGTATGCTCCATATGAATTGTATGAGCCATAAGAGCCATAGCCATAACGGCTGTAGGGAGAGGAGTAACTTGAGTAACTTCCGTAGCGATTATAAGGTGAGTATGAGTTGTAGCTGCTTGAATATGGTGAGGAATATGCAGAAGAGTATGCTGTACCGTAGCCTGCGCCGTAACCAGAACCGTAACCAGAACCGTAACTAGAACCGTAACCAGAGCCGTAACTGCCAGCACCGTAACCACTACTGTAACCAGTACCATAACCGGCACCTAATGTTAAGGAAATCTGGATTAGATTTGGGTATGTAACGTTGATCTATTCAAGTATGTTATACTACTTCTAGATTATAACGTTATTTATCTTCCTTGTTTACAAATACTCACCTCGATTAGCGTATGCTGTAGAACCCAATGAACTAGGTCTGGGTGGTATAGCAGGCGCCCCTCCGTCGTTACCAGTTCCGGTTCTCGAATTTTGTGTCGAAGGAGTTTGTGTAGATGTGAGTGTTGAAGTTGCATTAGTAGTCGCAGGACTATTTATTGTTGAAATAGGAGAGCCATTCGCTCTTTCCCATGGTTTGAGTGGAGAGGGTGCAGTTCTTGTAGACATTATGAAATGGGGAGAAGTTTTGTAAGAACAAAAGAATTTAGTGTTTTAAAAGATGGGAAAGGTAGATCCGCAACGGTGATTATGATGGGCGTAGTGGCGTGACTTGAGGGAAAAAAAAGCGCCGGGATTTTTTAGTGTGGCTCAGTCAAAGCATTGTTGGGTTTTCACGTGATTGTTCGTGACGTATTTGCCTGGCATGAAGGACTCGCATGTGCGTTTCACACCACTGATCGGAGTATATGGGTTACAATATCCCCTGATTACTTCCTGATTCAATCAATGATATTGCTCGAAAAGCCCGCCAAATAGCCTTAATTCTCTCCCGCATAACGGCGGCAATAGATTTCACTATTAATTCGCTCTGACTAACAACGGTACGCTAGCAGCATGGATGAATATGAGGACGTCTTGACTAACCAGCCCGTTGTTATCGACAACGTAAGTTTGCTAGACTCGAAACTGGTTGAACAAAAGTTACATAAACGCATGAAACTGCACGAGTTGTGTATGAATTGATATCGACAATGGTTTTCTTTAGGGGTCCGGTGTAATAAAATCTGGGTTTGCTGGCGACGATCTGCCTAAATGCTTCTTCCCGTCATTGTAAGTTCATTACGTTTTGCTTGCTTGCGAGAAGGGAAAGGAGAGGGAGGAATACATGAACAATTTTTTTTTTTTGTATTAATGTATTGCGTAATGTGTGGGCGATTTTAGCGTTGGTAGGCCCAAGCATGTTCGTATCATGGCTGGTGCTGTCGAAGGAGAAGTTTTCATAGGAAAAAAAGCACAAGAATTGAGAGGATTGCTCAAAATAAAATATCCAGTTGAACATGGAATTGTCACGGATTGGGATGATATGGAACATATATGGAAGTATATTTATGAAGATGAACTAAAGACCGCGTCTGAGGAGGTAATTCTTATTTAATTGAATTAAATTCTTTGTATTTGAAGCGAATTTATTAGTGAAACAATCGTGTCGGGACTATCAAATTAAATTTAATCTTGTACTATTACGATCTTTTTAGCATCCAGTATTATTGACTGAAGCTCCTCTCAATCCAAGAGCTAATCGAGAGCAAGCTGCTCAAATCTTTTTTGAGACATTCAATGTACCAGCCTTATTCACATCGATCCAGGCCGTACTAAGTCTGTGAGTATTAAATACATTCACATCCCATATTTTTTATCGCATATGTGGTATATGACTAATGATATCCGTCTTCATTTCAGTTATTCATCAGGAAGAACAACCGGAATTGTATTGGATTCTGGTGATGGAGTTACACATGCAGTCCCTGTCTTTGAAGGATTTGCTATTCCCCATGCTATTAGACGAGTAGACATTGCTGGACGGTAATTAGACGCATATGGTTTGCACATTACAGTGCATTATAAGCAACACGTCTCTTTTGTGATTCGTTTATACCAGCGATAATAACCGCCACGGGGCTTACTTTTTGTTTTTCTTTTTCTCACTTCAAACATTCGATAGTGATGTAACAGAGCATCTTCAGCTTCTCCTCCGTAAAGGCGGATATAATTTCCATACTACAGCAGAAAAAGAAGTGGTCCGTATGATTAAGGAGAAAATGTGCTACGTTGCAATAAACCCAACAAAAGAAGAGAAAGATACTGGTGGCAAGTGTGATGACTTTGTTCTTCCTGATGGCAATGTTGTGAAGGTAATTCCATACTACTTTGGTTAGACACCGGATTTTAATGGCATAGCTTTTGGCTTGGTTATAATTACAACTAATCTGTTGGTGTGCCACGCATATATTTTATGCAGTTGGGAACAGAAAGATTCAGAGCCCCCGAGATTTTGTTCAACCCAGAATTAATCGGACAAGAGTACGCGGGTATTCACCAAGTGGTTGCCGATTCGATTAACAGAGCAGACCTAGATTTACGGAAGGCTCTATATGCGAACGTGGTGTTATCGGGCGGATCGACACTCTATAAAGGTAAGCAAGTGAGAGATACCAGTTGGGAATTGCAAATCTTTGTTTATTAGAAAAAGTGCTTTGTACCCTCGCTATAAATGTATGACATTGGGTTTGTTTGTTTGTTTCTCTAAATAGATTTCGGAAACAGATTATTGAATGAAATAAGGAAGTTGGCTGTTAAAGATATCAAGATTAAAATTTATGCTCCGCCCGAGAGAAAATATAGCACATGGATTGGTGGATCTATATTGGCTGCTTTGAGTACATTCAAAAAGGTATGTAGATTTTTAAAGTGCTTTTGAACTTGAATGTTATCTATTATGAATTTCACATTGACATTATATTCGCGCGTGGCATGTTAATGTGTAGATGTGGGTTTCGGCTGAAGAATACCAGGAAGATCCAGATATCATTCACAAGAAGAGTTTCTAGAACATTATTCCGTCATTATTGTGAACGCGCCCCATGACTGCACACGTGTCTATATGTTATTTTCAATAGTACATATGTGACTAGACTTTTTAACACGTTTTTTCTATATCAAATAAACAGACATTCTCACTCATACTCTGTTTCATTGTATTTGTACTTTATCTTATTTGAATGATTGTTTGGGGAGTATGTGGTGAGTATGTTCCTTATTGCTCTTTCTTAGAATGGTATATGGCCTGTCTCTTCTCGGTTTGGCTTTTGTCTTTTTTTTTATTGTGTGATTTATACGTTAAGAGTCGTTATTTCCTGTATTGTACAATGCGGGCCACCTGAAATATAATTATTCTAACGTTAATGATATTGATATGTACCTATATCACATGATTTGAAACGGCTGTACGACTAACGCTAACCCGTTATATACTATCCGATTCGCTCATCATATGAATGATGCGACTTTTTATTACCATTTTGGTTTTCTTTCATATGGGAAAAGGACCATTGTGAGTAAACTTTCAATAAGGCGCTCGCTAAAAGTACTACTTTTATGCTGCTTTTATTTAACTGCAAATACATAAAGGAGAGAATTTAGCTCATGTTATGAGAGCCATTAGGGAATTATGAATATTTGTGTGGCCCAGCCATGGGACTAGAATGGGTTCGGTGGTGTGTACCAAAGCCCTTGGTGGGACAGATTGTCAATGTATGGGCACATGACTACTATGAAAGAGTTTGTTGGTGTATATCAAGCAAGGATCGATCGTATAGCTGCAGACCCGATGAATCGCAAGTGTAGTTTAATGACGTAAACTATTACATGCGGTATGTCAAGACTTACGATTAGTATGACGTATTCCTCCGTGATTTCCGATGAGTTACACGAACATTTACAAACCGCAGCATTCTTGTTTCACAACCGATAGAAAATGTACAACCACGAAATGAAACAGATTTCGATATATCGGGTTGACAGATGAAAATGAG